CTGTGGCCTCGGGTTAGAGCGGGTGATTCACGGGGGCTGCACCCTGCTATGGGCTCCGCAATCTCCTTTGGCCCACAATTCCACACCTGAGCGTAAGGTGGCTGGAAGTCTTCGATCCGGATGCTGGTGTAGCTGACCTGGTAACAAAACAACTCACTACTGTTGAGTCGGATCTGACTCATAGCGACTTCTTGGGTTTCCGAGGCAGTATCACTACGGAAGCAGATTGCCCAACCTTCCTTCCGAGGAGTGGCTGGTGTGTTTGAACTGCCAGCCTTCTGGTTAGCAGTCAAACGCCTTAGGCACTACGCCACCAGAGCTCCTAGCTGACAAGGTAGGACTGTGAGTTTTCGGACAGACTAGGTGCCACCCAAGGGAGAGTTCCGCGTGCCTCAGGTGCCTTTGGCGCTTACGTGCTTGCCTCTAAGTCTCCAGCTGAGAGTTATCTCCACGCTCATCGAGGGCTGCCTTCTCCCTTCTTGCCTGCAGCCAACCAACATCCTGGGCACTGGGAGTGGGAGACCAAAACCCCTGCCATTGTGTGGATTCAGACTCATGGAGACCCCACATGCTTCAGAGTAGAATTATGCTCCATAGAGGGGTTCTTGGCTGTGATTTTATGGAAGCAATTGTCAAGACTTTTTCCCACAGTGCCCAACTGGGTGGCTTGAACCACCAACTTTATGGCTAGGAGCAAACTCTGTCACCCAGAGACCTCGTGAACGGAAGAGAGAGAGAGGCTTATCCCAGTGGCAAGGAAAAATAAGTGAGAATTACTAGTGGGAGTGGGGAGGCTCTTCGGCTTATACACTGCTGGTGTAGCCTATTGTGTGTGACTATAAATGAGCTAACTTTCAATCTCTTCACATACATGTGAAAGCCGGACCATGAATAAGACCAAAGAGTTGATGCCTTTGAATTGTGGTGTTGGCGAAGAACACAGAACATATCATGGACAGTCAGAAGAATGAACAAATCTGTCCTGGAAGAAGTACGCCTGGAATGCTTAGAAGTGAGAATGGCCAGACTTTGGCTCACTGACTTTGGTCATGTTGTCAGAAGGGACCATCCGCTGAAGAAGGATATCTGCTTGGTAAAGTAGAGGGTCAGCAAAAAAGGGGAAGATCCTCAATGACATGGACTGACACAATGGCTGCAGTGATGGGCCCAAGTGTAGCAAGGATTATGAGCATGGTGCAGGACTGGGCAGTGTTTTGTTTTGTTGTATATAGGGTTACTATAAGTCAGAGCTGACTCGATGACACCTAACAAAAACATCACCAGCAAAAATGCTGTAGAATCCATGATGACAATCACTATTCAAATTTTTGATGAGTCATAATTTGTGAGGCAGCAGTTTAAGTCCTAGTTGTTTATCTTATATGGTTGGTTGTCTTATATATATTACTTGCATTGTAGCTCCAAGCCAGGTCTGAAGAACTATTGTCCAATTCAACAGTGCCTGCATTCTAGCATTGTTAAACTTACAATATATTAATTGGACTTTCCTCTGGTTGTGTACATTATGAGGTGGATGAAAGCTAATACATAAGTTTGTACATTCTAGGCACTTTCCAATATCATCATGAAAAAAGACTGTTACTTATATAATAATAATCATAGTGTATGCAACTGGTAAAACCAGAAGCTACGTTCAGTATCACTGCTAAGCGACATTCTTAATCCACCAGTGTTGAACATGTATGAAAATGGTGTACTGGATACTTTAACACACCCCAGACTTTGTGTTGGAGAGTACAATAATGTAAATCCTAAAAGCACCATGATTTTAGCATAATAACGGAAAATATAAAGAGCTCCTATATAGACTATTCCAGATAACTTTGCATCTTTGATACTTGTAGAATATTGTAATTATTTAAAAAAGAAATTCATCACAGAAGGGCATATATTCTATTAGTCCATTATTGTAAAAAGTCAAGGAAAGGTTTATATATGGAAGGAAATTTTCTTTGTTGGTTACCAGGGGTGGGAGGGGAGGGGAGGTAAAGATAAGCATTGATTTTGTTGAAGAGAAGGGCAATGTACCAAATGTGAGTGATCAACACAGTGGCACTGAGGAACAGGAAGACAGAGAGAGTGCATGGGAGGTGCAGACAACAAAGATGAACCCTTTTGCACATACAGTACTGTTTTGTCAGTGAAGCCAAACATTGATATATGGGGGGATAGATGGGGTGCACAGGCTGAACTATTAGGTAGGTCTATGCAGGGGTTAATTAAAAAAAAATTCATTGTATTGTATAAAATAAGCACTTTGATTAACACAGTTATAGATATTTTAATTTTTGAAAAACCTGTGGAAACTGATCTTTAAAATGATAGTCCCTTCAGAATAATGTCGTAAGTTGCTTTTAATATCTATTGGGAAGGAAATATCTAGGCTTTTCAAATCTTATTTCCTTTTTTGTTTACATAGGAACAATGTTTATAGTTGTGTGTACATTGTGGTCTACAAGAAGTTATATTTCAAATAATTTTGTAATGATTTAAATCATTTTCAGGCTTCTGCAGTTTGACTCTCACTGTGAATCTGTGAATAGATTTTGTATTTTTGCCTGTTAGTGATTGTTTCACATGTGTAATATTTTTGTCTGAGAAGTGAAATGATGGATCAGTAGTGTGGCTGTGAAAGTGGGAAGAATCAGGTGTAATTGGTCACAAGGTCTAAATTGCAGTTAATTACTGCTGTTTATTTAACAATGCCTTGCTGCTATGTGTGTATTAATGTTTGAGAGTAAAGACTGTCTATCCAACAGGGAGCCACAGTATTTAAATTGGCCAACCTAATGTTACAAATACTTTGAGGTAGACACATATAAACTAAAAACTTTAATTAAAATGGTGCAGTTTTGTATAATTTGGCATCAGTAGTTCAATAAGTTTGGAATGCCATGCAAACTCTTGCATTATAAAGAACAAAACAAAAAAATTGACAAGTTTGAATGGCTGAATGAGCAGAATTCTGTATGTTCTACATGTGGGACCAACTGTTGATATTTGTCCCTATCTATTTACACACACACACACACACACACACAGAGCAGCCAGGGCTTCAAACCACTTCAACTTTCTGTTGGCAATTTGCATTTCCACTCCAGATGTACTGAATCAGAGTATATCTGGAATGGAAATGCAAACTATCAGCAGGGGGCTGAACCGGTTTGAAGCCCTGTCTTTCTCTCTCTCTCTCTCTCTCTCTCTCTCTCTCACAAACACACACACACATAAACACACACCCACAGTAACTACTCTTTTTGGTGGGGAGGGATGAACTAATTGCAATTGCAGCTATCATGACACTTCAGCCTACATTAGTATGTTTCTTCTGGGAACAAGAACATTCTCTCACATACTTTCTAGAATACTAGGGAGAGTACTAGAATTGTACACTCTAAAAGTTTCTAAACATTAGTAAAATATTGTTTTATAATATCTAAAACCCATTGCCTTCACATCGATTCCAATTCATAGCTACGTTATAGGACGCAGTAGAACTGCCCCATAGGGTTTCCAAGGCTGTAATTTTGATGGAAGCGGACTGCTCCATTTTCTCCCTAGGAGCAGCTGGTGGGTTCCAACTTCGGACCTTATGGTTAGCTGCCAAACATTTTAACCATGCAAACTACGGGGCCTCTATTATATAATATAGGCCATATTGAAATCTCCCTCATTGTTCTGAAATGTTCTCAAGATTATTTTAATCCTGCACATTAGTCTCTTCATTCCACAAATAAAACAGTCCTCCTATTTTTTGTTTACATGACATTGACAAACCAGTAGTCCCTTTATCCCTTTACTGATGATGCTAATCTTGGTCTTTGGTTAAGATTGTATCCTCCAAGTCTCTTTTTAAAGGAACATTTTTTCTTGTAAATCCTAACTTGTGAAGTCTCCCAAACCTTGTGAATATCCAGTTCCTTAAAAATTTTTCAACAGATAGTTTTAGCCATATGATGATTACTTTCTAAATTGATTATACTGGTGGTTGCAAAAGAACCAGCAGTTTTTGAGTGAATGTGAAGAGTTCTGCCTTGAGTGGTCATGATAGCCACCTGAGGGGATATTTATTGTGACTAGGATCTGGTGTTGGAAAAAGCTTCATCTCCATGTGTAAAGACTGAAAACTTTAAAATCACACCTTCACCAGGTGAACCCAGTACAGTACATCACTTCAATATATTTTTAAATGAATAAACCATGTTTATTTAGAGGCTAGCCGGAAGCCTGGATCATGTAGTTTGAGCCAAGTGTCATGGTCAGACACACCAGAGCCTAGAAATTCAAGTCGATTCACAGCTCTGGACCCCCAGGGGCTCCAAAGATGCAAATTGGGGCACTTTGGAACCTCCAAAAGTTTAAGTGCAGTACCTTAAAGGAGATAATGAATCTTGGTTTCCTCTTTGTTAAATGGCAGGAATAACCCTGAGTCCTAACGACTTGCAGAGCTCGCCTGTCTGCGAACTGAAGCTCAGGGGTTCGGTCCCCTTGGACTGAGGGCAAAGAAAACCTCCTTTGAGAGGTTTCCTTGAGAGGCAGGAACTTGATCCGGGAGGTCCTCGCAGCCTCACACCCGGATTCCCGCCCTTTGGGGTTCTGGCTCAACCAGTTGTTCCTTTGGCAGGAGTCAACAGCGCCTCAGCTCCATCCACCCCCAAGTCCACAGGAGTCTTCAATGCAAGTAACGTGCCACCGAGACCCACTGTAAACTCAGAGACAGCCGGGTGCGCCTGTGCTGGGGGCGGAGTCTCTGGAGGACTAACCAGCAGGATCAAAGTGTGAGCAGAGCGGGCGGAGCGGGAGAAGTTTGGGATTGGACTCCGGGCAGCGAGCCCAGTGGGTGGAGCCGGGCTGGGAGCGTGACCAGGCCGGTGGGCGGGGCGGGGCCCCCAGTGCTAGACTTTCCGCACGCGGCAGCGCTGGGCGGCGCAGTTAGGTCCAGCCCCCGCTGGAGTGTATTTGTTTTTGAGGAACTGAAGATGGGAGCGCGTCTGGAAAGGAAAAACATCCCACCGTGGTTGAAATCTCCCAACGACTTGAAAGATCCCGAGGTGTTTCAGGTCCCAACCGGGCTGCTGGCAACCGTATTTGGTGAGTGAGCCCAGTCTTCACTGATGCCCTGTCTCAGCCCCAGTACCAAGTGCTGATTTCTATCTACTCTTCCCGAGCAGGCCCAAATGGATCTCGAATCCCATACCTCGAGCAAGTGAGCAAGACTATGCTCGAGCTGAAGGTTCTGGAATCCTCGAACTTCACTGAGGTGGTGATCTACGGATCCTACTTACACAAGTTACGGGCCAAATGGATGCTCCAGTCTCTGGCCGAGTGGCACCGCCAGCGACAAGAGCGAGGTGAGAGACTTGGCGTCCAACTTGCAGTGGGGCTGGTGCAAGGGCGTTGGCGACAGCATCACCCTTCTACTGGCCTCTTCTTGCCTCCTCTCCCCTCCCACGGGCGCCTTGGCCATCACTAGGGTAGTCCCTGAGACTCCTTTGGGATTCTGGGTCCCAAGTGTACCGGCCGTTGGTTCTGAGGACCCAAGGGTGTGACTGCAATGGGAGGTGTCCTAGACTGGTTCTGTAGTGCAGAGTTATTTGATATTTCAACGAGTCCTTCCCTAGCTTCTAGGAAGATGTTGGAATGGCCCAGTGGCTTCAGGCACCTGAGGATCCTGGGTCCAAAACGTCTGCCTCTGAAGCCCTGGAAATGTACCCTGAAAAATGCCGAGAAGGGTGGGGGCTCCAACCCCTAGCCTCTAACTCTCATCCTACTGTTACTCTCTCTGGTGCAGGGATGCTGAGACTTGAGGAAGCCATGAATGCCCTCGAACTAGACCTTGGATTCAGTGAAGCCAATTCCTAGCCAACATGACTAGACAAGGATGTAGATAGAATATTTTGTGGCCAGAGCTGTAGTGGGTTTGACCTGGTTCAAACTGCTCTAGCTTGACAAGTTGGGGGACAACAATGATTTTGGGGCCTCAATCCTGATGTGAATACCTGTTTCCAGGGTTGCTAATTAAAGGTCAAAATAAATAATTCTTTGACACTGTGATTGATGGATTAGAGGTAACCTCTTAAGAAACTCTGAGGGCACAGCTAAACTCACCATGGCCCTTGAGTGAGATTCTGTAACCACATAACTGAAACTTTCAGAGCTGGAAAGGGCCAAGGGCGCACTTGGTCAAGCTCAAAAAGTGGCTAAACGAAATGGATCCCTGAGGTGCAGCTCTGAACCAAAGAGCAGTCAGTCTAGGGGAGTGTCACTGTCTGGAACTCATCTGGAGTGAGTTAGAAATAATGTCTATTACAGGTTAATATAAGGTGAAAAATATTCTCCAAAACAAAAATATTATCAGTAAGTGTAGCATTTTCTTACGTTGTTGTAAATCTCTTAATAGAAGACAGCTGGATTCTCACCTGTTTCTGCATTTTTAATCTGTGGAATGTTATTTAGGAGTTGGAGTATATGAAGAAAAATCAGCTTGGCAGACAGGTAGACAGAAAAGGCTGAAGTTCACAGACCCAGTGAAGTCATCTCTGAGCTCCTCAAATACTCTTACAGAATTGTTGTTTTAGGTCCCCAAAGGAAAAATGGAATTGGTGGTAGGTAGGTAAAGGCATTGCCATAGGCCAGGCTTACTTGAGATGACTAAGAAGCAACCAGAATGGGACTACAATTATTTTTCCTAGAAGAGACATGATAGAACTTGGTAGTTTACAGCCCAGAATGAATCCCATTTTGGCAGCTTTTGGGCCCTATGATCTTAGGCAAACTGTTACTGCCCCCTCCCCAGCTTTGCCAATTTCGTAGTGCCTAAGGAATTTGACTGCTAACCAGAAGGCTGGTGGTTCAAACCCACCAGCCACTCCTTGGAAGGAAGATGTGGCAATCTACTTCCATAGTGATACTGCCTCGGAAACCCAAGGAGGGGTCGCTATGAGTCGGGTCTGACTCGACGGCACATAACAACAACAAAAGATGAAGATAATAGCCTCCCATGTGGGGCAGGGGACAGCTAAAGTTCAGCTGGTAATATATGTAAGGCACTTAGAACAGGCCTCACATATAGTAACATCAATGTTAACCATTTCTTGGAGAGATTACCCAGTCACGGGAGAGAACACTAACATGATGAGCTCTGTTTCTGCAGGAGACAAATCTAGCATGTCCATCAAACAACTACTTGGAAGATAAATGAGTGCCACCACCATTTTTGCTCACAGTTCAACCTAAAAGCTAAGATTCATACTTAACTACTCACCCCTCACATGAAATCCATCAGCAAGTCTGGTCCATTTGACCTTTAGAATATCCAGAATTTGAAACCTCCTACACCTGCACCTAGTTTAGCACCATCTCTTTGGACTACTGGAAGAGCCTAATCTTGATTTCTCTTTTGCTATTCCATAGTCTGTTTTTTATTCAGCAGCCAGAGGCAATTTTGAAAATGTAAATCATACTGCTTTTCCCCCACAAAGGAATCTCAAAACTCCTCATAATTTTCCATGTTGTTGTTGTTGTTGTTATGTGCTGTCAAATCGGACCTGACTCATAGCCGACCCCTCCTTGGGTTTCTGAGGCAGTATCACTGCGGAAGTAGATTGCCCCATCTTTCATACATTTTAACAAACCAAAAAGAACCCACTGCCATCGAGTCCATTCCAACTCATAGTGATGCCCACTGGATTTCTGAGGTGGTAAATCTTTACAGAAGTTGATTGTCCAGTCTTCCTTCTGCAGAGCAGCTGGTGAACCACCAACCTTCTGGTTAGCAGTCAAATGCCTTAGGCACTGCACCACCAGAGCTCCTTACCTTTTAATAAAGTCCTGAGGAGCTCTGGTAGCATAGTGGCTAAAGCACTTGACTGCTAACCAGAAGGCTGGTGGTTAAAACCCACCAGCCACTCCTCGGAAGGAAGGTTGGGCAATCCTACTTCCGTAGTGATACTGCCTCGGAAACCCAAGGAGGGGTCGCTATGAGTCGGGGTCGACTTGACGGCACATAACAACAACAACAACAACAATCTGACCTCTGCCCAACAGAAACTACATCCTTTTGCTATTTGTCTTGATCTCTGCTCAAACATATTGTACCTTTATACTCCTGAAACACCAAGCTTGTTACTCTCCTGGGCTTTAGTTTGTTTTTCTGCCTCACATTTTCAGATGGAATGGCTCTCTTCACTCAGGTGGTCTGAGTCTCCAGAGAGGTTCCCTCCACAATCTCTACTTAATTTACCTTTTTTCCCCATTGTTGTTGTTTGCCATCGAGTGGGCCCTGACTCATAGCGACCCCTCCTTGGGTTTCCGAGGCAGTATCACTACAGAAGTAGGAATGCCCAACCTTCCTTCCGAGGAGTGGCTGGTGGGTTTGAACCACCAGCCTTCTGGTTAGCAGTCAAGTGCCTTAGGCACTATGCTACCAGAGCTCATTTTTTTCCCCATGGGATTTACTAACCTAATATTACCATACTGTTATCTGCTTATTTTCCTCTTCCCCCTCATTAGAATATAAACTCCACCAAAGACTAAGAGATAATGTGGTATAGCACAGAGTGGTTAAGGATAGTGTTTTAAATGAGCCATATTGCCTGGTTTTGAAACTTGACTTGCTAGTTATGGAACTTTGAGTATGTGATCCTCTGTGCCTCAGTTCCATCTATAATATGTTGCTTTTGTCGTGTGCCCTCAAGTGGATTCTAACTCATAGCCACTCTATAGGACAGAATAAAACTACCTCAAGTGAGTTTCTTAGGCTGTAATTTTTAAACGCGCAGATTGTCAGGTCTTTGGGTTCTGACAACCTTTCAGTTAGCAGCTGAGCACATAACCATTATGCTGTCAGGGCTCATTATCTGTAATATAGAGAAAATAACACCTATTTAATGGGGTCGTAGTGAGAACTGAGTGAATTAATCTATGTATAGCTCTTAGAACCTTGTCTGAGACACAATGGATACTCCATAAATGTTTGTTGAATGTCTGTACCACATGTGTAGGGTTGTAGCCTAGATTCTCCCTCAATCATCATTGACTGTTGTCATTATTAGCCACATTCATGCCTAAAGATTTCCATTGGATTTCCTCTTCAGCCTCCAGCTCTGTCCTCTAAGGCTCACAATGAGGGAAAGCCATGGAAGTCCTTTTTAAAGGGTATTGTTCTCCTGCCTCTTGAGAGTGCAGGCCCTGTGCAGTGTTCTGAAATCTTTAGACATTGTACTGCTTTGAGTCACTGGCAAGACAGAGGTCCATTTGCATCCTGTTTGAAGTTCCTTGCCATAGAGAGCAAGGGGCCAAACAGGTATTCCATTGGCATTTTACCCTCCAGTCTTGAGAATTGTTTGCACCTTGGTCTGAAGGTTGTGGGCCACTCAGTTTAGCTTCTGCACAAGATTTTGGAGGAAAAAGCATGCCTTCAGGTCTGTCTCACTTTTCTCACATCCTCAGGAAATGAAGATTTTTAAAGATAATTGGAGCCGTGATTTTGAAGAGTATGACACAGATAAATGAAGTTCCTTCTATTTTGGAGCACCAGGAGGGACACTTGGCTCAGATCTGTGTTTTAAGAACCCACAGTTATTTACAAATAATAATCTGCTTTGCAGATTTGTTCTTCTTTGGCAGGGAGAAAGTTTTGTGGCTTTTCATAGGACAATCCTTGGTTACCAGGGCCCCAAGTCTCTAGACTGAGGTGAGGACTCAACAGGTGAGGTGGCCTTTTTATGGGGGGGGGTAACATGTTTGGGTACTCAGACACGGAGGTAATGAGGCATGCACCCGGTGGCATATCTCAGACATGTGTGTGTCGGGGACTAAGGGGGGTTTGATATCAGTGTCCACGGAACAGAATGGACCCCAGTGTCTCAAGGTCGTCTCCTTGGGTTTTGGGCACATTTTGAATAGAATGACATTGTTTTTGTTTTTGTTATGTACCGTCGAGTTGGACGTGATTCATAGCGACCCCTTCTTGGTTTCCAAGGCAGTATCACTATAGAAGTAGATTGCCCCATCTTCCTTCCAAGGAGTGGCTGGTGGGTTTGAACCGCCAGCCTTCTGGTCAGCAGTCAAGTGCTTTAGGTACTATGCCACCAGACCCATCAACAGTTACAATATGAGATAGAACAATGGACTGAGTGGAGAATACTGGTTATTGCTACATTGGAATAAATAGTAATATTTTAGGTAGCACATACTATTATTTAAATTTATTTACATTTGTAACAGATACTACATTGAACCCATTTCTAACAAAGAAAGCTCCCTTTTACCCCATTTCACACTCACACATTTTCTATTCCCCAACAAATAAGTAGGCTATTAACTTGTGTGCCTTTCCAGATTTTTTTAATGCAAATAAAAGCAATTACAAATGTAGATTATTTCCTCCCCTTCCTTACAGTTAAGCTTGAAAGTAATAACCTGGGAATTTAAAAACTGGTTATCTTGGAGTGATTCCTTTTGAGTTTCAAGTTCTTGACCTTCCACAAGGGTAAATGCAAGGATTATAGCAAACAAACCAGCTTTCATTGTGATGGAGATAAGGAGAGGCTGCCCTAAGGGTCAGACAATAGGGCCAAAGTGGTTTGGTAATGAGATAAACCCAGGGCATAGTCTAGAAAAATTTGGTTTATGTACAAAACAAAATTACTAAATAGAGACTAAATTTAATCCAGTGAAATCCTCTTGTCAGAATGTGGCTAATGATGACAATAGTCACCACTGATTTAGCTCCTACTTCCTTCTGGCTCTTGCATTTTCAACAATATCGTCATTCCCATTTTCAGATAAAGAATTGAAGCCCACTCTCCTTGTACCACATTTACATTTAAATGGGTATGTAATTTTTAAGACTGAAAGAA